CAGCCTAATATGGTGAGAACGGAAGAGATCCTACTCCAGCAATACCTTCCTGCATCAATGGAGTCCTTAGGCGGCCACCTAAGCTCTAATGGTATTTTTTGGGGATAACTGCATAGCGTTCAAGCATAAGCACTGCAGCTTTTCCAAGTGATCTTCTAATTGTAAGTCCAAAATTGCATGCGGCACCCATTGAGAGCGGCTGCTCCTCTGAACGCCAAAAATGCGCTAATCTGCTGGCTGCAGAAAAAAAATGTTTGAGAAAGCCTAACACTGGCTGAACAGACCCGATGGCGCAATTGTAATGAGAGGTTTGTGTAGGAACTTGGATTTTCTTCCATTCAGCTATAAAGCTAGCACCATGCGAGGTATCCGAAAGCCCTAGAGATCATGACCAAGAAGACAGATCGGGAAGCGGGACGCGGCCAAAGTTATACCCCTGCGAGGGATCCGAAAACACTCGAGCATACACCTGGGAACATTTGCTAGAAAGCACCCACATTTACACTTCATACTGAATAACACTGATCTGTTATTTGGCGTTAATTTACAGTGGATAGTCATAATTCGGGCAATTTAGGTCTGGAGGATATCATGCGTATTCGACGGGCCTCTCTTTCGGATGAGCAACGGGTCAGTTCCCTTGTAGGCCACGGGAAGAAGTGGAGGAATTGAATGAGTCCGCGAGAAGGAATCACTCTCGCACGGTCTCGCACGTGCTCACCATTTTTGAAAGTCTACATCTTACAAGGGGAGGTCGTTCAGGGCGTGGAGCGCTTTCTCAAAACGGTTTTTTCTATGATATAGAGGGATGTGCCTGGAATACAGAACTGTGGTCCATTTCCGCTAAATGGCCCTCTGAATGCCAAAAAAGGGTGGGAAAGTGGTCCTTGGTTCGATTCCCCGCGGTGACAAAATTTTTGCACTGTGATTTGACGCCACAAAATTGGCACCGAAGACGTCAACACCAGGAATTGATGTCATAATTATAATTAGGCTTACAAAAACCCTTACAAGTGGGCTTATACCGAAAACTGGTGAGAGAAAGTTGTGACGCAAAAACTTCACCAACGAGCCGTCGAACAGTGTCACAGGGGTCCGAAGTGATGTAGGAGCTAAAAGCGTGCCGTTTGAAATCCACAACGGAAACCACTACACCACCGACGCTGCTAGAAGGTGTTGGCCAAATGCTCTTATGAAACTTCCACACGCTCTTTAGTACACAGCATGACATCACCACGACAACTTTCCAATTTTGACCAAACTTCACGTTGTTTTCGATACACACTTACGAAGACCCTCCATTACGCAAGTAGTCCAATGAAACACACCACGTTGAACAAGTAAAAACTGCAGTTTCCAACAAAATGATTTCCACTCCTTTTTTGGCATTCAGAAGGCCATTTAGCGGAAATGGACCATAGTTCTGTGTTCAGTGCACACGCCCCTATACCATGCAAAAAACCGCCCTGAACGACCTCCCTCGTTGGTGATGCGTTGCGCGTCAACAGTTAGCTTTATGCCTTTAGAAACGAGGTATTGTCGATATCATCCGTCAACCACGTGCTAACCTTCTTCCGGACCACTTCAACCCAGAAGGACTGGGTCCTTGAGGAAGTGTCCCGGCTCCACGACGATATTCGGTGTTTTGTTAAAAGCAAACCCCGGGATTGGCCCGACTAGTAGGAGGGATACCACTAGGGAAATTGCAAGGTCTGTAACTACCTAGATCACTCCAGCTTCGTCGCAAAAATTGCGCGGTTAGGGCGCTAATCCTTACGGGCCTGCAACCATCGACCCAATTCCAACGCTCCCACCCACCGCGAGAGGTGGTGAGATCAGCGTGCATTGATGTAGAGATCAGCGTGCTCTCTCAAACGACGTGCTCTCTCGCGTATTTTGTCTTCTTTGACCGCCCTTTCTCGATCGTACCACATCCGACCCTGTTGAAGGTTAAGGCCTTAATTTCAGCGTTCCCAAAGATTTCTCTTGCTTTCCTTCCCACTTTCAGGTCGTTCCGCAGCTAAGCTATCACTACAGAAGCGCTGATAGCACTAGTTTCAATCCCGGAGTTTGCCTTCAAGCTCCACGGACCAACAACTTTTGAATAGGCTGTCAGCATGGTCAGACCGTCGACCAACTCCTGAGCAAGGCGAAACAGGATCGACTTCTCCATCCAACATCCAAACCGTTGTTCCGGTTGTCAGCCGTCTAATGAATGCGCTTGTTTCCGTTCTGCTAATTCTTTTATGCTCTTTTCCTTATCATTTTGCTTTTCAGCTGTTCCAAATCCAATGGTATTCAACTCGCTCGCCTCCTCTCTGCTGCAACTCTTCCTCTTTTTGGTTTTACATGCAACCAGGTCTTCCGTCATCAAGTCCAACGCGTAATGTACAGAAACATATTGTACAAAAATTCATGACTCGAGATTCGTAAAAGTAACAACTCTTTGGGAGGGGATGAGAAAAAACTCTCAGTGAGGCATTCACTACTTAAGCTTTCGACATTAGTTGTTTACAGATTTACATTAGTTTGATTGATTAAAAGTTTGATGAGCGTTTTCTTGATTCCTTCTAGTACGTCAGGAAGTCTGGACCTTCCGGTTTTTTCTTATCCTGCCCGAAGCAATCGTTTCCAAGGTTGGCTAGCGTCTGAAATGTTTTATATTGAACTTACTTGTTCTGATTTTTGTTACTGCCTAGTTGATTCATAGTCTGCGATTCTATTTCAAAGCCTCAGAGCAGATATTTTGGTAACAACATGGTTGAGGACTTTCCATATGCAAGCTGAAGTGTGTTGTGTGTAAAGTGTCAGGCTAACCTCCTTGAAGCGACGATAACTAGTTTGACTGTACTGTACGTAATGCGCAAGAGACACCTAAGCCGTCTCCCTCTCGATTTCTGTTTTCAATCAAAGTAGAACAGTGAAAGTGAGTTGACTAGGCGACCGAGGCTTTTTAACGATTTTGATTTCTATCTGAAAAATTCTCCGTCGGTCCTGGCCATAGTAACAAAAAAAGAGAAGATGGCCGTTATGAGCGTCTGGACCATGAACTTTAAGAGTCTCCGAAGAGAACGTCAACAGGGTAACCCTTTGGCGACAATGGCACCCACCGGTGGGTGCCACTATGACCGTCGCGTGGGACAATGGCACCCAATGGTGGGTGCCACCCTAAAATTTTCTTCTTTACCCATTTAAAACATTTTCAACATATCAGTAATTATAAGCAAGCTCCGTTACGCCTATGTTTAGCATATTTTGCAGAAATGTTTGTTACTAGCTAATTTATATGAAATTTTAGGATATGGCACTTCGCTCGGCGATGTATTAACTAGTGTTTTACATTATTAAGCTTAAGGTGAATTACAGATCAGGACCTCTACGTCTTTTCACAGTCTTAAGACACAAGGAGGAGTTTGAACTATATCAAAAATTCTACTGTACATTTGAACTTCTAGAGTTTTCAAACACCATCCCTTTGAAATCCGAGATTTCTTTCCAAACTTCCACTTCTAATTCCAACAATACATGATCATAAAGCTTAAGACTGCAGTCATATTTTGTTTATTGTCATAGTCAAAATTTTGATAGAAAAACTGCTTTTAGGACAATTTTGCCCCATTTTGTGCGAGAGTTGGGCGCGCCAAAAAGAGGCGTGGTCCCACGAGCACGCTACGTGCAAATCCGCAAAGGGTTACGAGGCACTCGAAACAGTGGGAACACGACTTTGCAGACGAAGTTGTTATACAGCGGGAAAGCGCAGTGGCAGTGGTTTGAGCTCGGAGCTGTTGTGTTACTGAAGAAGTGAAGCCCATTTTTTGATGTTTTCAGCAGCAAAGCAATAGAGGCTTCGAACTTATTTTTCCATGAACTCTTGCTTACAGATGTTTGTAGTTTGAAGGCATGCCCCAGGATCACATTGGTGTGGCTCTTGCACACGAATGCGAATGTATGGTGTGAAAGTGGGCCGGCAGTAAAGAAAAAAGGAAAAGAATCCGTCGAAAACGCTCAGGTTAAGGGCTCACTCACCTTCCTAATCGGCTGTGCTAAGGGAATGAGAGCGCGGAGAGGAGAGTATGGCGAGAGAGCGCTACAGATGAGAGAGCGCCAGACAACAGCCTGATAAGAGAAAAAAGTCTGCAGCTTCAGCAGCTTACTTTGCAAGGCCCAAGCGCTCTTGTCGGTTGGTTTCCGTGCACGGGAACGCCACATTTGTGATTGTCCTCTAGGGGTCTATACTACAGACCGAAGGAAGCGTTCACACGACCTCTGCCTGAGTTGTGCCTTTAAGAGCTAAAGGGTTTCGTAAGAAATCGACGATTGATTAAGCTTAGTTAGTAATCACGATAATGCTTCGATGAGCTCTGTTGAAAACAGAAAATGGAGTCGTCGAGAAGTAGTTATAGGTAGCAGCAAGGGTGTCCACCGAAAATCTGGACCGCCGTTGCCAACTGATACCCACGCGTATTCCCAACGTATGCCTATTCGATCGACAACTAAGAAGAGCGTCTACATACAATTAGCAGCTGATCATTTTCGAAAAATGCTGCTAATAAACCAGTGCACGAAGAACTGTGGACGTTTGCCTATTCCTGGGTAATAGTAATCATTGCCATATGAGGAGCGTCGAAGGATTAATTTGCTTTGACGACACACAGCTTTCACGATATTGCAGGCAATAATCTACATAGCTCAGTTCAAAGAATACGGATATGGAAGCGTCTATGAAAGACATTTGTGCGCTCAGCTTTTCATGGTAAATGCAGCAGTACAGGGTATCCCATGGAATATTGCACCAAATTTTGAGCTCAAATTCTGTAGGTGTTTATAGCTTTTCTTCCGAGATTGGCAGACCTTTCAATCCTCTATCCTCTTGTCAATGACCATGCCAAATTCCACGGCTTACCGTTCGGCCTGCATCTCATGGTGCGCCTAAACTTCAAGAGTGCCTAACCTCTCACACAGCTAGGTCGGACATCCGGTGATGAGCATCGCGCTTCTTTGGATTTTCAACCGCTCCGCGGCCTACCGTGCACTAAAGAGAAGACCAATAAAAGTAGTCTTTGTTATGGCTGCGCCACAGGTTCACATCTTGGTTCTTAGGAAAAGCAGGGAGAAGCGAAAACATAGCCACGTGGAGACAGTTCGGATAACAACTGCCCATAGAGTCCATTATAAGTTGCATAAGCACCACTGCTCAATCCAACGAGGAGCACAGCAGAGACAAAAAGTTCAAAGAGCTGGTGTCGAGGGCCGAAAATGGCGATTACGCGGGCACCGTTTTCATCGACGACAAAATTCCTCACATGGAGCGGAGCTACAATCTTCAAACTCCGAGGATGCCCGCATGAGGTCTTGAGGAAGTCAGTGAGAGTGAAAGGAATATTCGCCACAAGCAGCAGCCGAACCTTATCATGGTCTGGACGGGGGTCTCAACTACCGGTCGCTCACCATCACTGCCTGTTTACAAAGGAATACAACTTGATACTAGACCGAGCCAAGGGACATTTCGGTGCACCATCTGTTACTGAGGTATCTAGCCACTTTGAGGAGGGGTGATGATCTTTTCAATAGGACCCAGCTTCTGCATAGGAGGCAAAAATTGTTCAGGAGCGCTGTTAAGGCACTCTTTCCGATTTCACATCCTCGAACGAATGGCTCTCCTATCCCTTGATTTCAGCGTGCTGGACCATCCTATGTGGGCTATGTTAGGGGCAGAGCCTGCACCCACATGGATGAGCCGGAGCCTTTTCTCTGCAAAGTTTCGAAGAGAACACCCCAGGATGCCATGCGGGCCACAGTAGAGTTGCGTTCGAAGCAATTGGGAGCCATACTCACAACAACAGGGGAGCATATCCAATGAATGTCATTCCTTTCAATATGTAAATGTATTGTAAATTTTGTAAAATTTCTTAAAGTTACGTTTATTTTGAAAGAAGTTAAAAGTGAAGTGGTGCAATTTTCATGGGACACCCTGTACATACCGCATTTCGATTGGGTGGGTTAAGTTTTTTTTTCTCAAAAAGAGTGTTGGTAAAGTTTCAGAACAAGTGCTTCAAGAAGGTAAAGAGCAGCACTCCTCAGCTCCCAGCAGGAGCGACCGCATGTGCCCACACAATAATACAACTTCATTATTTCTGTGTTTTTGATGGTTTCGCGAGTACCCTAGTCGGCTATCTCTGTGGTGCTGATGCTCTACTTATGTAGAAAATCGGTACAACGTAGTAGCGTGTTCAGTCCCCCTTAATTGAGATACAAGGACAACAGTGGTGTAGTCACGTTGTCGAAAGACCAGAGGATCGTCTAGTTGAATGGTAGCACCGCCAGGATGCCCATCAAGAAAGCTTTCAACTTTGCATGGATGGAGACTTAGGTGAATCGATGGGGGCAAGAATTATAGCCACAAATATGGTGACTACTACTGGTACGTGAACCTTCCAAACAAGTTGTGTACAATCAAAGTTGACGCAAATGCAGCAAAAAGGAGCGCTGCAGCGTCACACCGACGAATGGTGACCACGCCACTAATCCCTAGCCCTATGGACAGGGTTTATAAGAGAATCAAAAGTGTAGACGCGGAGAAACTGGCCTGCCTAATACACTGATGCTGTATAACTGCCATCTTCGACCGCTCATTACTTTTCCAGAAGTTTTTTATAGTAGTTTTCAATCTCCGTATTTGGAACCAGCACGCTTGACTGTTTTGATTCACCCAAGTTTCAACATATTCCATAAGATTGAAAACTGAGAATTCATTAAGAATTTGAAAGCCTTGGAGTGGATGAGAGGCGGATGACTTGATAGGAATATGTGGCCAACGATACAGATAAGGGCAGCGAGCATAAACAAATACAGAAGGTGGAAAGGGTGGGAAATCAGTTGAAGATCTCTTCATCAGCAGTAAGGAACCCACCTGATAATTTGGATCGTACGTTCCGACTATACGCTTTTCTTGTGGAGCTCTTATTTTTGGTGCACCGTCTTCATTTCCACCGTCATCCTGCATGTAAAAGGAACTGAATCGATTTTCAGTTGTTCATTTACAATTTCCTCAGACAGCTCACGACGCACTATGTTTTAGAGAAAGCACTGATGTGGAGCTCGGAGCGGAAAAATAAGCGAGCCATGAAACGATGTTCAACGAAGGGACTGGGCCAGCCGACAGTGTGTTCGCGTTTGCGGCTGTTGGACCGTTTCTCTCTCTCTCTCTCTCTCTCTCTCTCTTCTCAAGGGTTGTTGGAACGATCTCTCTCTCTCTCTCTCTCTCTGTTACCAACGCTCTTGTGCCATTAATGTTCATTTTCATCTTTTGTACGCACGCTGTATTCACATGAAATACCACATTCAGAAATCTTTATTGTCTGTATCATCTATAGCCAGGTAAGGGTAACGGTGCAAACAAGAATAAATATGGAATCAAGGAGAGCCATGGAGTCGACATCGGTCTGGGGAGGTAGCGAATGCTCACGTGGTTGCAAGGAGGCAGCACAAAGAATGGAGGAGAAACGCCTAAGCAGAGAAAAAAATGATGAAAAATTGTAGAGAAAAAGGAAACAAATGCGCGGAGCTGTGGCTATAGTGACAACAAAGAGGGAAAAAGATGAACAGAAATTCTTAGGAAAGAGTTGGAGTGAAAGCTGAAACTAGAACTTGATTGCAAAGCAGAATAAATGGAGTCCCAGTTCCACAAAAGAGATGATGGCTCGGCACGGGACAATAATTCAAATTTCTCGTGGCATGAGCTCGTTGAAAGACATTAGTAGCGATTAGAAACTTTCAATTTTGTCCATGAGTGAGGCGCGGCATTCTTGAGCTCAGAAGGTGGAGCTGTTGCGACTCGTTAGTGCGCGACAAGAGTGGTAAGCCGTACCTCCTGACCTTAATCGCCAGCAGTGTAGCGAAGTCGCGCCCTCTAGCGCTACGCGTTTCCTATCCCTCGCCGCTCTGTATCACTCCGTCCTACCATCATTTTCACAAGAGAAAGACGTCTTCATGTATTTCTCATGGTTTCTTTTGCCTATTCTCCTCACCTGCGGCCCCTTCGCACCCCTTGTTTGAATTCCATGCAAAATCACAGACAAATTCTATAGGTATCTCTGCCTTTGAGTCTGCCTTGTCTAGTGAGGTTTGTACAAATATAATTCGCGGAAACGATAATTTTCTATCATATCAACCTACTTTTTTGAAGTTATTCTCATCTTTTCTTTTGAAAACATCATCATTGTTCATTCCGGCCAAGGTTTGATAGTTGGGATCATACGTTCCTTTCTTTTCCGCAGGATTATCAGCAGGAGGCCGTATTTTGAACTCGCCGCTAGCCTGTAAAGTCATGTAGTTATCACAAGAATTCTAGTCTCCAAGTGTAAATAAAACTTTATAAACAGTCCCAGCAATCAATTCTGACTGCTTTATACTTAGCTGCTGTTTTAACGTCGCACTTGACGTTGCCAACGTTTCACAGGAATGAACTAAACTTTCGCCCCAGACGGGACTCGAACTAGCACTTCTGGCTTACCGAGCCAGTGCGCTACAGTAGCCGGTAGTTATTATAGCTTGTTGCGCACTTACCCGCTAAGCAAGTGGTGCGGAAGAGTCCCGTCTGGGGCGACCTAGTATCCTTTTGAAACAGTCCTAGCGTTTCCGTTTCAGAATTCGAAATGAGGAAACCCTATTATTTGGTAGGGTCTTTGAAGTGAAAAATTTGATAGAACCACAGAAAACTGATGGGATCATCTGTCAATCTGCAGGTAAGCGCTTCTCGTACAAAACGAATTTGGTCGCGCATTGCGGGGGTCAAATATTTGTAATTTCAATAAATGTTCCGGAATTTCGAATCGCGCTGTCTGACAGCTCTCAAACCTTCTTCATGTCGTCCTTGCTTCCACCGTCCTTTCTCTTGAAAACTTCGTCGTTATTCATTCCTGCTAGGGTCTGATAGTTTGGATCATAAGTTCCTTTCATTTGATGTTCTGCTGGAGCACGTATTTTCAGTCCGCCACCGCCTCCAGCAGCCTCTTCTACGCCACCATCCTAAAGACAGCCTTCTTTGTATTCAATCGCAATGCATGAAGAGATACAAATTTTGATCACAACGGGACTTATCCCACTGACAAGGAATGTCTCTCAGGTCGCCATGACCATTCTATATGAATTGTATAACCTCTATGCACTTTAACACGCTGATTTCAAATCTGCATTCCAAATCTGCTAAACGACCCTCTGAACGGAGTTATGAAGCCGAAAAGCGCAGCGGAAGCAGTGTGGGCTCTTGAGCAAGGGCTCGTGGGATCGGTTCCTCTGCAAGTATATATACGGGTTATTATAGGCAAACATTGATGAAGTGACATGTCATTCCGGGAACGTTGCGCACAAAAGCAAATGAATGAACCGATCCCACGAGCCCTTGCTCAAGAGCCCGCACTGCTGCCGCTGCGCTTTTCGGCTTCATAACTCCGTTCACAGAATCGTTTAGCAGATTTGGAATGCAGATTTGAAATCAGCGTGTTAAAATGCATCTCATAAGGAATGGCCATGGCGACCTGAGGGACATTCCTTGTGAGCTTGATATATTACTCGGATTTCTAATGTGAATTTTACAAACAGCTGTCTGTTCTAGCTTCAGTTAAAAATAATGCTAGGGAATTAGCAACGTGGAATTCATGCCAGCTCCTCTAATAAGCACGGAAAAACACAAGGCCAGTAAGTATAGCAGGCCAATTAAAAGAACCTACCTCTAAGTGCTTACACATTACGAATCACGCTGTTCTTTAAAGGCACAACCCAGGCAGAGGTCGTGTGAACTCTTCTCTTCGGTCAGAAGTATAGAACCCTAGGGGACAATCACAAATGTGGCGTTCACGTGCACGGAATTCGACCGACAAGAACGCTTTGGGCTTGCAAAGTAAGCTGCTCGAGCTGCAGCGAACGAGCTCTCTTATCAGGCCGTTGTCTGGTGCTCTCTCATCTGATGCGCTCTCTCGCCCCATACTCTCCTCTTCGCGCTTAGTCTCTCGTTCCTTTAGCACAGCCAATTAGGAAGGTGAGTGAGCCCTCAACCTGAGCGTTTTCGACGGATTCTTTTCCTTTTTTCTTCACTGCCGGCCCACTTGGCACCGATACATTCACATTCGTGTGCAAGAGCCACACCAGTGCGATCCTGGGGCATGCCTTTAACTTTTTTGTGAGGTAAACACCTTATGGAGTGAATGTATAGGCACAAGGAGAGTGTTTCGTGTAGCGGGAGGTATTTATTGCATTATGACATCACCATGACATGAAATTAGGACTCCCTTATGCATGCTACTTCTTTCAGTATCGTAGTGGCACTTCAAAGCGAGAGATTAGCGATAGGACTGTGGTGTGTTCATAGTGGAAGTGTAGAAATGCTGAATAACGCCCTAGTAGCGAAAAAGCACAGAAATCTGTCAAAAGCGCAAAATGGGACCACTTCCTCTGCCCGTTGACCTCCGATAATGGACGAGTTGGCAACCAACTAAGAGGTCGTCGGCACTCGTTAAACCATAGCTGCCATCATACCACCAGAGATCATACCTTGATTGATATAGCATTCCATGAGAAAAAAATTGGATACGCGCTCGAAGTGGCATACCTTATCAGAATGATAATCGAACAGCGATCTGCTGAGGGGCGGAGCACAGGCGGAGGCGGAGCTCAGAAAAGATTGGCAGCCCCAGGGCGCTACAACGAGCGCACCTTTAGTCACAAAAAGGCCACATCTCGATTCCTTTGGGCTCTAGCTACTGCTTGAAGTGCTGCTCGTTCTTCCATGCTGCACAGAGGCTCTTATCGTAATCTCTCGCTTTAAATGTGATTTAGCCTGCTTTTTTTTGCTGCACGCACGAATAAATAAGAATAAATAAAAGAATAGAAGCAAAGCCTTGAAAACGCTGTCCTCGACATTAACTGTGCTTCTTTCTCTATGTGTGCGCCCTTTTATGAGAATCGTACCTTCCTCTTGAAGACTTCCTCATTGTTCAACCCTGCCAGTGTTTGATAATTCGGATCGTATGTTCCTTTCATCTGATGCTCCGCTGGGGGACGTATCTTCACTGCCGGTGCAGGGGCGGGTTTCTAAACTTAGACAACAATGACATAATTCAAAGAGTGGAGCTTTGAAGATCGTTCCTCAAACTTTGAACTTTACTATGTATATCATGTATCTCTCTATGCGAATATTTCACAACGGAGCGCTGTGCATACTACTCACCATCCCACTACTGTTCCGTACTGGTGACTAGCTGACCTCACAAGAACGTTTTTCATATCAATCTGTTAATATTACGTTTGTGGGGAAGTCGTATTCTTCGAACTTGTTATAACTACTTTTACCTTGACAGCATTGATCGAAATGATAGAGAATTTCACTCAAGGCTAAGCATTCTATTGGTGATAATTATTTGATTTCACTCAGCCTTTGCTGTTATGAAAAACTATTTCATCACATATAACCAGTATGCCACTTTTGCTTCTCCTCTTCCGTATGAGAGTGAAGGTCAGCACGAAGAAGCGACAGCAACCGGCACACTACTTACGAAAACCTCCTGTGATTGCAGCGCCGGAGTACACAGGTAGAGAGGAGGACGAATGCGAAGTGAAGACTGGATGCCAACTTAAAGCAACAGTCCCAGCAGGGTTTTTACCTTCGACACTAATGGTGTGGAACGATGCGCTAGCCCTAGTCAAGAACATAAGAAGTGTGACTGAACAAAAAACTCACCTTGGAAAGCCGCTAGAAAGGGAGCTGAACGGCTTCGAAGTGGGCGTGGTTGAATCGGCCGTTATGCAGTCCTCAGTCCCCCCCTCCCGTTATGTAGTCAAGTGCAAGGGGTAGCACTCCTACCTTGTATCGTGCCAGCTTAGAAAGAGCGACCATGAGCCGTCGAAACGCAGACCAAAATGACTAACTGCATTTATGCGAATAGACTCTCATAAATAGCAATAAACATCTGCGTGCTTAAAGGCTGTGAGTGCTATGATTTGTTTGTGGAATAACACAAAGAAAAAAGTAAATGTTTGGGAGCTGATGCGTGAGGCTTTCCGCAGGCTATGGT